TTTATTTAAGCAAACTTACTGTCACTCTTATATTAGCCTTTTGCCTGTGCATCTTTATTTGCTTATAAAACTGAACATTATGTATTTGTTCCATCAGCAATCTGTATTGTTAGAGTAGTTTTATTAAAAAGATTTTACATAAATACAAAATACGTTCAAAGAAAAAAAATGTAGCAAATGTGAAAAAGAAAATAATTATGTTAAGTGCCTTCACAAAACCACATTCGGATTTTTCTATAAGATGAAAGGTTTTTATTTTAAGCTCCCAATCAGGAATGCTGAAAAGACTAGGCTCTAGTCCAGTGTTTCTCAACCTTGACAATTTTAAGGCATGTGGACTTCAACTCCCAGAATTCCACAGCCAGCAATGCTGGCTGTGGAATTCTGGGGGCTGAAGTCCACATGCCTTAAAATTGTCAAGGTTGAGAAACACTGCTCTAGTCTAACAAACTGAGCAAGAAGACATCTGCAATGGGAAGGCATCACTTAGGCAAGCTGTTGAATGAGCTACAAGTAACCTCTTTATTCTTCCTGGTTTCTGTGCAATCCCAACATATGGGAAAACAGGAAGCAGACTTACCCAGAAGCAGAACTCATCCCATCTTAGCAGAGCATCTGCCTGAACACACATAGACATATTCAAGATGTAAAGCCTGATCAGTTTGGATGGCTTCAGTCAAATCACTGAATCCCTTTTCTACCAATATGCAGACATCCTGTTAAAAATTAATGTACAGGAATACTATTCTCATCAAGTCTGTGACTTAAATGGAACATATATTCCATCTTAGATGGGAAAAATTGAATTTCACTGTATCTTTGGGAAGCAACCGACAGCTCCCGATGAAAAGTCAGAATGGGTGAATATGAATCACAGCTGGGGTCATCTTTCACATCAATCTCTATGAAAATCAATCAAATCCAATGACACTGGCAATATAGCAGGCAACAGAAATTTGACACCTCTAGGATCATTGCCAAAAACACCAGGGTAGACATTACTAAGTAGTTATCAAGGTGAAAGATTGAAATGAATCTGCAGCTATACATTCACAACTCTAGCACCTTAACTCTGGTGTAAAGACATTAAGTTGTTGCTACCAGTGAGACCCGTTAACCCATTAAGTATCTTAATCCCTGGACTGATCTATATATAGCAACACCAAACTGGCTTTGGGAAATAAGATTTATTTTTCTTTTTGTGCTTTGCTGTCTGAAAAGCCAAATGACTCAACTTTCTACTTGAAACTCTTAAGAGAAGGGACAATCTAGAAAATATTTGTTGATAAATGATGTCGGAACTTTGTGGTACATAAGGATTTCACTTAATCAGTAACAACATAACTTTAAAATACACAACTAGTGAAAGACACAACTAGTATAAGACAAACACTTCACATATATGGAGGGCTTCAGTAATCGAGGGAAGATTCTATAAGATGTGATTTTTTGCACAAAGAAATAGCATCAAATTACTTCTGAGCTTGAACCTGTGAATTACTGCTGCAGTGAAACAGTTCACTGTATTAGGTTCCAGAAAACTTGTCATCTGTTTTTTTTTGGGGGGGGGGGCTACTATGGTACAACCAAAACACTTAGCTAGGGTAAAACTGATGAACACAAATACGCATAGTCAAAGATGCTGCCATTAGAGTTAATAAAGCTGTTCCAGATCCCTATGTTACCATAAAAACAATCTCAGGATTTTCCTGTTGCACAGCAGAATTGTATGACAGAGAAATTTCCTCAGTTCACACGCTAGCATTAAGGTTTCCTAAAGCATTATGTTAAAAAAAATTGCAGTTGTTTCTCTATCTGTACTTTGTTGAATTCTGCAACGCAGTTCTATAATCAAGTAAGATATAAAAATGCATATGCATTTGTGAAAACACCAAAAATTCACATTAGGTAAAATTGCTTGCAAAAATATTTATATAGGCAAAATTACTACAAAAATACATATATAATCAGGAAAAATGTGTACGTTTTCAAGTACACTTTAAAAATGTGCAAATTGATATAGAAATGGGATAAAAGACTCTTTAATCTCAAAGACTTAGTAAATATGTCATTTCTTCGGTTGCATCTTATTTACTATGTTTTTGGCCTGCATCATCATTCTTATAAAGCACTATAGTACATATAGGTGAATGTTAGGATTATAAAGACATTTTTGAAGGATAATTGATGGATTATATTTATGGACATTGCACACAGCAAAGAAATAACTGCCAAATTTAAAGAAGGACAATCAGTCTTGCTAATTATGTCATAAGGATGTCCCAATCCAAATTTGGGATCAAACATTATACTTAGCAGTGACTATTAAATTGTAAATTATGGCTTTTCAAACACAAGAAAGAAATACAGATACAAAATCAGACTAAATTTTGTTCTATCATAGGTACTGGGCACCTTCATGAAGTTTTACACATATTTGACTACACATATTTGACTATTAATTTAAAATAAGTTGAAGACCCAGGGAATGTTATCTGGAAATTTCATGCATATGATGACCAAATAGCCACATAATAATTTCTAGGCAGCAGTATGGAAGTGTTTGCTACTGTATTCTTCCAAAAGATTTTGGTGACAAATCTAAGCTATAAATCTGGTTTAATTTTTTAAAAAGATTTTTAAAATTACCCCTAATAGCATGTTAATTGTATCATTTCGACCTTTGTATGAAGGAATTTCAGTTGTGGAACAACCACTTCAAACTAATTGGCCTTTCATGAAAATTAGCAACTGTAATTTTGTACCTCATCACAGAAAATAAATTAATCATGCACCAACACTTTAAAACCTAAATATTTTGGTTTCTACAAGAACGTGGTAAATATATCAGTATTTTCCTCTAAAAGATTATTGAAACGATTTAAGAACATTTTTACTCTACAGATATTACCATTATGTATCTGACAGGCCCTTTATCTGATTGATTACATGGCATTTAAGCTCAAAATAAATTTCTACGATTGTCTCTTATTCACTTCTTTATTGGGCAAGTAAACTAATTCTTCCAACTTTTGTAATGAGAAAACTTAACTGAAACAGTAAAATATCTAGTCTTGTATTTAACATTATTGTAGTAATTTAGATAGCAACTGCCTGTATTCTAAAGTAAAACTCAAATTTTAAAACAGGTTATCATCTTAGTTTAAATATTCAGTCTTAATATACCATGGAAATACTTTTCCAGGTTTGCATTATCTAACTGTGCTTGATATTAATCAGGCCATGATTAACACTATACTACATATTCTGCAATTTGTAAATATGGCCGTGTAAAAGAGACCTATGCAAGCCTGAGTGATGACAGAAGATATGTGTAAAAATTTTGCAGAATCCATTTTTTTCCATTAGGAAGGGGGAAAAAATCCAATTCCTATTTCTGACAAGGAAAAATCTAAGAAAACAAGAATACAGATATATTGGGTAGTAAATAAATACTAGCAGAAACATGCTGTTTTATTTGGTTAAAACAAAGAGGTGAACAGTATTTGAATCTATAGCAGGAAAGGTGCTTCCAATCCAGCAAGAGCGTCAGACAAGTTTAGCAAGCACCCTATGCTAGATCAGAACCGCAGTTCCTATAATGGCTCTGTATATGGGTCCTAAATAAGAATAATCTTAAGCCCCTAGACAATTTCATGGCTGCCCTCCTGAAAAGATCACAGGAAAAACGACTTGACCGCTTAGTTGTCAGGTTCACAGTATATCCATGTACATATATATAAAAAAATCACCTATCTTATATTTTTCCAAAACTTATATTTATGTACATCCAAACTAACATAGAAGTTGTTCTCATTTTTCTTCTTGTCACTAAATAAGTCTGCAAGGTAAGGGAACAAACTGAAATCTGCAGCACTGGTGTGGGAATGCAGTATATTTATTACAAACAAGGAAAAGGCATAGAGTGTTTTATTCCTGTCAAAATCTAAGTTTCTGATAGGTGTTGAAATCTGATGAATATACCTAACTTTTGTCATTTCTTCTTTAGTCTTTGTGGCACTTTTACTTATCTGTTAGGAAGCTTTAGAAAGCAAAACTAGCATATACAATACCGTACTTATTTCTCATCCAACAACAGAAATGTGAGATACAATATACGTATTTTAAATTTATATTAGAATGTCCTGGGATGCACCCAATGGTTCCTTTTTCCTATCAAAAAGGACTTCCACTCAAGCAACTGGAGGTGGGAGTAAAGGTTCAATTTTTGTCAATTTTCTTAACCAGCACAATTTTCTATGTGATACTGCATGTTGTTCCAGAAAGCCCCTCTATCTGCAACAGCAGCTTTCCAAAGGGAATTTATGTTGATAGAAAAGTGTGGTACTTTTATAATAGGCTAACACTCAGGAAGGATTACAAAATTATGAAATAGATTTCCTCCTTATAAATTCAGTGAAGCCAGATTTTATTTCTTTCTGAAAGAAGTTTTCTCCTTCAAACAAACTGAAAATTTAATGATGAAAAGATAGTCAAACAGCATATAAAATGCACTCTCACATTTAAGCATGACTTTTCTATAAATTCATTATTATTAGGACCATATAAAATCAATTATTTCTGAAATAGTTGCTTTATGGAAAGTATTTCATTTAGAATAACTGTTCCAAAGATCAAAGTGATTAACCTTTTCCTGAAAGGGACAACAATGAAAAATAACAGCAAAGTAACAATCTGAGTAACATATTCAAACTGGAAAACATTTATTCTTCTTCACTTGAATATTCTATTTTTATATATGCTGGTTTTGTTTATTAATTATAGTTCTGAAATGTTAATATTAACATGTTATTTCTTTAAGATGTAAAAAGAATTTGATTCAAAGATGTTTGTAATTTCAGACCAACCAACCAATTTGCAGTGTGCTTCTAAATTAAAATTAAATTAACATACAGTATGCTTCCATCAGGTAACATAAAAATAGGATACATAAACTATGAAATATTAAAACATAGCACAATGTATTACACATAAAACTTGTTTTTCCATTTCAAGTTTATTAAAACTTTAGCAGTACAAATGATCCAGATTGTGGATTATCAAAAAACCAAACTGAAGTCCACATTAAAAAAAAAAAAATGTTCCCCAACATGTCTCTAGAACCTAGAAGCAGAGTGGAAACAATAAGTTCATAAACTCATCCATGTTTATCTTCATCAGTTCCAGCACTTGATTCATGATCGGATTTTTTATCTTTGCCATGGGCACGATCTCTCTCCTGATATTTTGATTTTTGGTTGATCTCTTTTTCTCTTGAAGAACGAGATCTGTCCCTTTCCTTTTCCTTACTCCTCCGTGAGTATGATCTTTTCAATTCTCTGTCCTTGCTGCTTCTTCTTTTCTTTGAGTCAGGACTTCTATCTTGATTTCTATATGATTTTTTGCTTTTATTCGTCTCGGAGCTACTGCTGTCATGGCTTTTTGAACGCATCTTTTTTCCAGTATCTTCCTTTTTGCGAGAACTTTTGTACTCTTGATCCCGATGCCTGTCTTTACTTCGACTTTCTTCCCTCTCAGAGCTATGGGATTCCTTCCGCCTTTTATATTCTTTCTCTCTGGACCTCTCTGGGGTGCCTCTTCTCTCTCTACTCCTTGATCTTCCTTTTCTTTTTACTTCTCTATCTCTATGTTTGGAATAATCTTTACTTCTGCTGCGGTCTCGTTCTTTACTTCTGGACCTGGCTCGCTTGCCTCTGTCCACACTTCTGCTTCGCTCTCTGGCCTTATTATTGGAACTATGTTTGTTTTTAGACTGCTCACGTTCCCTACTTTTTGAGTGTTCATGTTTTCCCCTATCTTTACTTTTGGTATGATTCTGGCCATTACTTCTAGATCTTCCCCTTTTATTCTTCTCCTTGCTTTTGCTTCGTTCTCTGCTATGAAAGTCATTATATTTTTCTTTGTCTTTTTCTCTGCTTCTTGATCGCATTTTTTTATCTTCATGTTTACTGTATTTTGAGTCTCTTTCTTTACTTTTTGATATCTCTTTGCTTTTGGATCTAGCCTTTTTCTTGGCTTTACTTTTGTTATGTTTGTCCTTATCTTCTTTCTCAGAATTTCTCTTTGTCCCTCTGTCTTTACTGTCAGATTTGAGATCTTTGGGCTGTGTTTCTTTTTCTCCTCTTCTATCTGGACTTTCAGAACCCTCCCTGTGATCAGATATTTTTCTTTCTTTTCCTCTCCCTGGACTTTTTTGATTTGCAGCATCCTTCTTGGTTTCATTCATTTCACTCCTTCAAGACAAACAAGCAAACAAACAAACAAACTTGAACATAAAGCTAGTGAAATAATCCCACACCATTATCTGAATTTACATTACAAACTGCATACACATGGAGGTACATGATAGAAAGAAGTACCTCTAAATCAAAAATACAACATACTATTGGAGAACTCTACTGTATGAGTCAAATGTGACACAATAGAATGAGAAGATCTCTAAAAAGTTTGTGGAAGAATTTCCCATGAGGGGGAAGAAGAAAGCACATGTACTTTCTTCTTTTAATTTCTCTATACTTGTTTTAATTTTCATTTAGCAGATTATTATTTTTCCCCTTTTTCTTCTAACAAGATATTAAATGAGCACCATAGGAAATGGAAAAATAGACCATTATTTACAGGAGTTTCACTGCTGCACTGACTACTGAGTTACTTATAAAGTGAGATTAAAAATCAAATAAATAAATAGTACAGAAAAGGCTACAGCGTTGATTGCCTCTTACTTGTCTCCTTTTATCCATCTTTCTCCACTTGATACTCTCATTCTTTGAGCTCTTTGCATTTCCTGTCTCCAGTGTGGAGGAGTCTCACTGCGTCTAAAGCGATCCCTTGACCTGGACCTTGAAGGTGTCCGGTACCGCTTTGAATACAAGAGGAAAAATTAGCTAAAACAAGATATGGATCCTAATTTATATAGCAGCTGTGATAGGTTTGATTGCAAATTACCCATTTAAAACCATAATAAAATCTCAATTTAATGGACCATTTTGGGATAAGAATTGTTTGCTGATTCAATGTTCAAGTGAGATAAAGTGATACAATTGATACAGAAAATGCCAATTGATACTTATGCAAATAATATAAATGACATCAAATGTCCATATTACCATGGAAACAATAAATTTCCTTGGTGAAGATGACATCTGATGTAAAATTTTATCAGTTGCACCTGAGGAATTGTGGTTTTACTGTATAAACGTTCATAGAATAAAATTAACTTAATTGTGCAGCAGCTGAATTTTTAAACTGAAGTTCAATGCTCACTGAAAATAACACAGTAATATAACAATAGCAAAAATATAAAAAGAAAAAATGTGTTATCCAGGAGAATACAAAAATGTATTTTAAAAAATAAGAGGAGTTACAAAATTTTAAAATAAGTAGAGATCAAGTAGTGTAAGCAGTCTAATTAACACAATACTTAAAACTTTTCTGCTGTATTAATTTTTCAAAGTGATTTCTCACACTTTTAAATACCTGTCTTTCAGTTTTCCAGTGTCTTGCTATAATAAATTTCACATCTAACAACAAAAAAAGGAATTAATTTCTTTTATGTTACTGCCTACTGAATTCTGGTATGCAGAATCCCACTTCAAATCTATCTTATTTAACAAATTATATTTTCTTCTTTTTGAGTTAATGTTATTTATCATTCTCATTTGAAAGAAGCCAATTAATAAATTTACTTTTTAATTTTAAAATTATTTTTTCTAGAGCTTTGCCATACTTTGACCTGAGTTCTAAACATTTAATCCTTGAAACAGAAATATAAGACTTTAAAAATTTGGTTCCTTGCAAGTAAGGATTTATGGGAGAGTCAGGAATTTTTCCTTAGCAAATCTTTGTCCCACAAAGCTAGTGAACACTGATGAGTTTGAGGGAATCCTCTAAGCCACTACCTAACAGCCTTGGCAGAAGGCAGTCCATTACTGGAGAACAGAACAATTTAGCAATAAAACATGTGCATGCTTGATGGTAAAGGAACCCTCATGAGGAGACTAATAAAACATGCATCCCAATTTGAGGTCAATATTTTGACAAAACTTCAGCTTGTTGTAGAAATTACTATATGCTAACCAACCTGCAAACATATACAGCTTATGGCCACAATTAAGCCCAAAATTTCTATTGCTAAATGAGACATTTGTTAAGTGAGTTTTATCCCATTTTGCGATCTTTCTTGCCAAAGCTGTTAAGTGAATCATTGCAGTTAAGTTAGTAACACTATTAAGTGAATCTAGCTTCCCCACTGATTTTGCTTGTCAGAAGATAGCAAAAGGGGATCACAGGACCCCTGGACATTGCAACCATCATAAATTTGTGTCAGTTCCCAAAAATCTGAATTTTGATCACATGATCATGGGGATGCTGCAACTGTCATAAATATGAAAAGCAGTCATAACTCACTTTTTTTCAGTGCTGTTGTAATTCAAACGGTCATTAAAGTAACTGTTATAAGTTGAGGACTATCTATATTGCTTTCTTTGTCTTGATATCTTAGCATGATACATAAATGCAAAATGCTGGTTTGTTTGCTAAACCTACTGGCCTTGGCCTAATTAGATAGATAGAATAGAATAGAATAGAATAGAATAGAATAGAATAGAATAGAATAGAATAGAATAGAATAGAATAGAATAGATAGATAGATAGATAGATAGATAGATAGATAGATAGATAGATAGATAGATAGATAGATAGATAGATAAGTAGGCAGGCAGGCAGGCATGTATGTATATATCACACAACTAAATCACAGTTTATTAAAAGCCAAAGATCAAAGAAATTAAACTGCAAAAAGCAAACATACCCTTGGTCCCCTTCCTTTTATTTTTCTTCCAGATCTTGTCACCAATAGCCTTCTCTGATATGTTTGACAATTTGATAGATTACTAGAAATTAAGAAAAGAAAAAAATCACTGCTGTTTAACCATGATTTATTAGCTTCTTCCATAATCACGTACTTCTGAAGCTCACAAGCTGCCAACACTATGCTATCATTTCCTTCATAAAAAAATAATTCAAATATTCAGTGGTGAAGTGACAGTAATAGTAATAATAGTAAATTCTAGGAGCCTTAGACCAGCAATACCAAACTAAAATGCAATTAACGAAGAAAATACAGATAACAGTAAGATATAACAAGGTAGTTTTCTTACATTACATAAAGATGACTGCTGAACACTATGGATATGCAAAATTAACTGAAAATAGTTAGTAAATATTTAAATGATAAACTATTTATTCCTCCCTTGAAGAATCTTTATCAACATCAGGGAATAAATCCTACTGAAAGCAATGTGCTATCTTTTAAGTAATGATGCTAAAATCTGTGTTGATAATTATTTTAATTAAAGGTTTAAAAGCTATTTTAGCAGTTTTATTTTGTGTTAATGGGTATTTTTTAAATGTGTTTTATGGAAATTGTTTCATTTTTTAAACTCTACACATTTTTGAGAAAAGTAGCTCAAAGGTTTCCAAAAGAAACAAAAGAATGATCAATAGAACAGACATAATTATTCTGTATCTTTGTCTATATGCAGGAATACAAGTTAACATACAGTTTACACTGATCACAACTTTTGAGTTATTATGTCAGTCTCAAACATACATTAAACTTTACATTTCCCAAAGCTTAACTTCAACCAAGTTAATATATTTTTTTCTATTCACCCCAGTTAAGATATAGTCTTAGCTAAAGTGGGCTGAATCTCACTGCAAACTCCCTAAGGACCAAATATTTTCAAATGGCTTATTTTTTAAGTGGATCTGTTGATATCCTAGGAGATTAGCATATGAAAAATGTAAATGAATTGCTGGTTTTCCATATAGTTATATTGCTCTATTCTGTTTGATCTGGCTTGACATTTTGGTAATTACATTGCTTTGGGTGGGGTGGACAAATGCAATATTCTGTGTACTGCACTAGGCATTTCCTTGTCCTGTGAGTCAAGGATCATTCGTCCCATTCTTCAATAAGAACAATCACCCTGATTGCTGTCAGATTTGGTGGATGTCTTCATGGGAATATGCTCTGTTAACATGAAATTGCTTATCAGACAACTGTCTACCATACCCTTTTGGTGATAACTATCAGGCTAACCCTAACAAAATTACTCAGTTGAACAGCCCAGTAGGGTGTGGATATGCTAAGTATGAGCTGTTGGGTGGGTGTCTGCAGCCTCACCTTTCCAGAATTAGTCAGAATATTGTGGTATAATCAGAATATAACCGTGCTATGTGATCAGAATTATTGTTCTGCTTTTGTTAATCCTGGTTTATGCTTTTAAGCACATTAAGAGGATACAGCCACTTTAATAAATAATGGAGAAAAGCAAGGGAAAATTTCTCTAATTGTTAGGTGCACAAGTGTTGATCCTGAATGTTTCTACTGTGACGGGAAAAAACAATGAGGTGTACTCTACACCAAATAACTGGATGTTGTTGCCTTTAGTATTGGCATTCGTGGTTACAAATTAGTAGATTAGTTGAGAATAGTTTCCATAACCATTTTATCTACCTGATAATGTAATTATTTTCCCATTATATTATTCTACCTTATGTTTCCACCATTTAGTTAGTAATCGTAATATGTTTACACATAGATCTTAGTATTTTAATATCATACTATTGTGTTGGTAAATAATTAAAAAAAACCTTTACCTTTCCCTTTCTTTTTCTCTGTTCTTTGTCTCTTTTTCTTTTTCATCTACTTTGGGAGGACTTTTCCTCATCAGAAATCTGTTTTCTGGAACAGGAGGAATCTCTTCTGGACGGACTGTAGAAAGTGGCTGTTGCAATTCGGGATTTTCTGTTTCAGGTTCACTAGCTGAACTTAAATTTATAAAACAAAAGAAGACATTTATTTGTATGTTTAGAATAATGTTAAGTTTTCAGATGCCAAACATATTTCAAATTTACTATATTTTAGAAATGTGTGTGGAAAGTTGCAAAATATTTAATATTTTAATCTGAATTGTGCTGGTTTTTCTTATGCCTTGCTAGTTCTAAATGCAGGGTTGAATATGAGGACCTGCTTTTTTGGCCTTTTTACTAACATAGTAATTTTAAAAAATACTCCTTCTGTTATAAATTACTGAACATATGTAAATCGACAGATTTAATCATGCCTATGGACAGTTTCTGAGCTGCTAACTTACAGAAAGTTCCAGGTTGTGACCCTCCAGCTTATAAACAACCTTTAGTTATGAACAAGCTGCCTGCAGTACTCAAAATGGCAATGATTTAAGATGGCAGGTGGCACTTCTCCCTGCTAATTGAAAAATCTTTGAAGCCTTGTAGTACCTCCATATCATGCACTTTTAATATATTGCACAGCCTATTTTCAGTGGTTCCTGAAAGCACTGCACAGCTCAAGAATGGTGTCTGCCGTTTTGAGTCATGTCCCACTGCAATTTTTCTCTGACTAATTGACTGATTGACTGCAACAAGATCCAACTCAAATGGCAGACATTACTTTACCACCATGAACTGAAGCATCACTGAAGCATTACAATGCCTGTGTGAGCATCACAAAGTAAAGCAAGTATTTTTAATATACAGGTAGTCCTCAACTTACGACCACAATTGAGCCCAAAATTTCTGTTGTCAAATGAGACATTAGTTAAGTGAATTTTGCCCATTTTACAACCATATTTGCCACAGTTGTTAAGTGAATCATGGCAGTTGATAAGTTAGTATCCCAGTTGTTAAATGAATCTGACTTCCTCATTGACTTTACTTGTCAGGTTACAAACGGTGATCACATGACCTTGGGACGCAGCAATGGTCATAAGCATGAACCAGTTGCCAAGCATCTTGAATTTTGATCACATGACCATGGAGATGCTGCAATGGTGCTAAGTGTGAAAAACGGTCATAAGTCACTTTTTTCAGTGCTGTTGTAACTTTGAACAGTCATTAAATGAACTGTTGTAAGTTTAAGACTACCTGTACCGCACTGCCTGTTTGAAGAAGTTTCTGAAAACATTCCATGGATTCAGCTGTTCCTCAGCTCGTGGAAGAATGCCATTCACCATTTTGACTTGCGTTGGGCTTCTGTTTTTCTCTTATTACACAGTAAGACAAACATGTGACTAAATAGCTTGTTCTAGTTTACATACAAATGGACTTAAAGGAAGACTTAGGAACGGAATTTGTTCTTAACCTGGGGACTTGCTGCATTACAAAACTACTGGGTTGACTTCCTAGCAACAAAAGCATTGTTCTCCCAGTATCTCAGATTTCATCCAAAAAGATATTTAAAATCATTATGATTTTAGATACCTAAGAAATCTGTTTGATAAAAAACGTATAAAAAGATTTATTTTACAAACAAACTGAAATTGACAAGGGAATTCCTTCAAATTATTCTTTTACATTTGTTGCAATAATAGTGCAGGAAGGAATTTTTTTCAATGCTTTCACAGAAATCTTCCCTCTTCTCTATGTACCTCTTTTTGCTTTTTTTCCTCTTTTTCTTTTCTTTCTTATGTTTCTTAGAGGTTTTTTTGTGTTTCTTTTTCTTTTTCTTTGTTTTTTCTTCAGCAGCACTGTCAGATTCAGTTGACGAATCAGAAGACGTTTTTGAATCACTTGAACTTTCTGAATCACTAGATGAAGACGACTTGCGTCTTTTCTTCTCTTCCTTCTTGACTTTAAATGAAAGCAACAGAAAAGCATTTACCGCCTAAGCATAAAAATACTCTTTTCCTATCTTTCCAGTTTTCCCTTTAATTTCCAAATATTAAAGCAAATAAATAAAAGTTATTTCCTAACCGTGATTTTTCATATATGAAAATGCTAAATATTATTGTTTAACTGTAATCACAGAGTTCAAGCAGAAATATGTTGTTATACCCCCAAAGTCTAAAGATTCTTAATAAACAATTTTAACAATGATGCTCTTAAAGTATTAAAATAAGCCAAATAATTAATTTCTACAATAGATGATTGGAAAACAAAAGATTAAAGCTGATTTTTTTTTCTTTGCTGTAGTGGCAATCTGGAACGGCAGACTATTATTAAAAAGGTATTTTAATTTTACCTTTGGATTTTGGAATTAGTTCTCCACAACTCAATATTCGCACTTCTGCATACGGTTTACTAGATGCATCTGTCTTCTGATTTTCTATTTCTCTTACAACGTCTTGCCCCGAAATTACTTGTCCAAAAACAACATGATACCTAAATGAGCGAAGCATAATTTTAATAAATGACTGACATATCTATCTCATTGAAGAATTCAACATAATTTTTCAATTACAAGTAAAAGACAAAAATACGTACCCATCAAGATGAGGGGTAGGCTTAGTTGTTCTTTAGATGACACCAGAGGCAAGAATTTAATAAAAAAAGGGATAATATTAGTATCAAGTTGAGAGGGAGAGAGAGCACAAATTTGGTATATTATAACAGAAATGAGAAATATGAACAAAACATTAAATACTGAACAGCAACAATGTCAATACGTTAAAATTTATATAAAGTTCTGCTTATTAGTGTAACTGTACCTAACATTAAAAAAATATGTTTAAACAAATATATTCTATATAGTCTAGTTTTGAGTGAGATAGTATACTTTGACAACACTACACTATACAATGGCATGAATATTCAGAATTCTTCTGAATAGGAACAATTTCCTTCAATTAAAATATCTGATATTATAAAACGGGCTTAACTAGAACATTTCTTCCAGGCATCCAATTCCTATGTAAGGAACACTTTTAATAACCTGAGCCATCATTTCTGTAAAACAGTTTAGACTCAGGTTCTTTTGTCAACCAGGCCATAGTTACTTTTTGTTAATAAAAGATGCTATGTTATTCAGTTTCAGTAGTACAATAATACTGAAACATTTGGTCTCATACTAATTTATTCATTCCACAAATCTCTCTAAACATCTATACCACTGAGCAAATAGTGTACATTCATTTTTGAAAAGGCAGCTTATGCTTAATATAAAACTGAAAATAAAGAAGCAAAGACAAAGATTTTGAAGACACTACAACCCTCAATATATTATTCAACCAATAATTTCAATTAATAAGTTCACAGTGGAACTTATTAAAGATTTAATATTTAAATCTTTAAAAAACTAATGTATTTTTATTTGTTCTAAAGTTCAGTTACTTCATTCCCTCAGATGATTACCTTCCTCTTCCTGAGCAGACATTAAAGACTTATCAAGGAGTCATTCCCATTTACCTGTCAAACTTCTGCCTATACTGTGAGAAGCAGGGGACACAGATGTGTCCTTTATTTCATAATGAATAGAGTTGTAAAAATAGCATCTTCTGTTATGTTTGGAATATTCAACAATACTGCTTGTAAATAAATGTTAACTTGCTTTGACAATCAGAGAATATACACATAAGCATTATCCACTTTGAGCCCATGTCACTATTTAGCCCTTAAAAAGCTCACAACTATTACACATTAAATGAAAATTTTAATGTAGGCATTGATTAGGTTGCAACTATTTAACTCTTACATTGTTAGACCACTCTACATACAGCTTTCTTTTTGAAATATAAGACTGTAATGGCTGTCCCTATTTCAGAGGAGATTTTGATTCTAACTATTTGGCTATTTGTAATTCTATTTATTATTTCCACTTTGGACAGAATAAAACAGCTAGATGCACCATTTACTTCTGAGTGAACTTAACTCAGTAATTAGAGGGAATTACAGATATGGTGCTTTGTAAATAGCAGAAGAAACATAGTAAAGAAACTGTAGTAGTACAAGAAAAGTGAGGAAAAGTTTATTATTACCTATATTTCCACACTAGCAACAACTGACTGATTTATGGCACTTTGCAGTATGTAGTGAACTTTCATGGGTTTTATATGGAATATGTTTTAATGATTATATGGAAGGGAAACAGTGGTTTGCAGTTGCAAGTTGAAGAAAATACTGTATTGGGGAACTGAGATTTCATGGAAGACAAGGCCTATTAATATACTAATTATTATGACTTTTCTCTCCCTCAGAATTATAATGATTTTGTGTTTTGGTCTGCTTGTGATGTTAAATGCCAGGTTGGTTAATATTCTCTCTCTCATCTCTAGATGTGTTTTGGTGGGAATTTTGTCCTGCCAGATGTAATCAAGACTTGGATTGTGAAGGATTAATCTCTTCAGCAGTGCTTTCCTGTTCAGCACCCTAACTGATTATAAAGTATTCTTATACACTAGATTCTTCAATCTGGTACCTCTATCATTCCAAAACTAGAGGAACCAGAGCTGTCTGAAAATTATGGAAGTTATAAAAATTTGAGGATCTAAAGTTCAGGAAGTCTGTACCTATTTTTCAGGCTCAACGCATGGACATAGTAATGGACTAAATGAGTTTAGTTTAGACAAGACGGAGTACATGTAGCACATTATTTTCTCACAAGGGAATGACAGTCAAATTGTTTTAGAAAAAATGTACCCCTCTTAACAGATCAAAACTGGGGAATGCTTTGTTTATTCACATTATTGTCAGAGCTTTAATAATTCACTATGCCATGAAATGTGTTTTACAAGTTTAGATTAGTAAGTTAATTATGATTCAACTGGGATAGAAATACAGTGCATTCATTAGCCCATATTCTGATATCCTTTCATTTAGATTGATCAATGAATGTATGGCTCTTCACTGGCTCTTGGGCCCAATGCCAATGTTGTCCCTGTATAAAGCAGTACAGACTGCTTAAGGACTAGAGAGAAAAAGAGCATCTTTTCTAATATATTTCATCTGGGATCATTATCCCAAGCCATGGTATTACTATTTAAGTTTTCCCTCACTTATTTATTATCTTTGGCAAATGAGCAAGCAAGAGTCACAATTAGACAACATCTGTTCAACATACACCATCAAAATGGACCCTGGAAATATCATTCAGCTTCCCATGACAGACAGCAGGAGATATACTGGCACAAGCTATGTATCTTACACAGCTTCACATCCCAAATCAGGAAAAGAGCTTTTGCTTTAGCCCAATGTAATGCTCTTCCCTCAGCACTTCTGGGTGGAAGATACAAAACAATCCCATACTCATTATGAATATGTCCTTGAGACTCGGTACATATAGAAACTATTGAACATGTTCTCCTGTATATCCACTTATATACAGAATCTTGAAATGCTCCAATTGCCACACTTCTGACTAGTAACTTGGACACAATAACCAATAGTATAAGCAATGTCTACTTTCTGACATCAACCCTGAAGTAACATACAAGGCTGCCAAGTTTTGCATGGCGGCACGTAAAATCAGGCAAAGAATAATTAAGAGTAATTGAACCTGCCAGAGTAGGGATAGTCAAAAGTGGATGAGGCTTGGCATTAGCTTTTGGGTATATATGCCATGTCAGCTATTGCACTACATTATATTTTTCTCAGCCACAACAGGGTTTCTGTAAGAGAAGCTTGCCCGGCGCCAGCGGCTCGCCGCTCGCCCCCCCTCCCCTGCCGCTGCGCTCCGCCTGCTTGCCCGGCGCCGGCGGCCGCAGCGACAATGAGCTGGGCCAGTGTGTTCCTGCCGCCGCCGCAGCCGCCCGGCTCGTTCCCGGCGTCGCCCCGGCCTGTGATGCTCCAGGTACGGCCCTCCCACCATACCTTCCGTTCCCTGCAGCGCTGCGTGTCGAGGCCGGGACGGAATACCCCGGGCCACCACAGCCAAGCGCGAGGGGGAACGCCAGACGCCTCGCGCGAAGGGGGGAGGCCTGGCGACGCTGCGCCCTGACGGGCGCTCACCGACAGGGCTAGGGAGGCCGAGACGGCCAGGGAGGAACAGTCAAAATGCCCCCTCGGCTTATAAGCGGGTCACCAATTTTTCCCAGTTCTTTGTGGGAAAATCGGTCCCTCGGCTTATATTCGGGTCGACCTATACTCAAGTATATACGGTATTTTAAATATTTGAATACCAATTCTCTTGCGCTGATTAATGATTGTAATAAGCTTACTATCAAACTATCCTTATCTTTTACTATGGCATGTTGAGTTCTTACTCAGGAGCAAGACCTTTACTAGTAGATTCCCCTCCTCCAATTATAGCACATGTTCAATAGAGAAGTCCATCTGTAAGTTCCTCTACATTTAGACTTTTAAGAAATATTTGTATTGTTATATTGTCCTTTTTTAAACTTTTCTTATATTTATTCTAATTGTGGTTTTAATTTTATATACTTGGCATTTTTTTGAATTTTGTGATGGTAGTTGTCTTTGCTGAGTTTTGATATACAATACTTTTTTTGTAGTAATTTCTATTTTTTTTATAATTGTATTTCTGTTTATCTTGTAAATTAGTCTTAGATAGATCTCCCATAATTCTTAGAAATAGTTAAATAAAAGTATTCTCCATGCTAAAGGCATTTATACTTTGTAAACAGAAAGTTATTCCAACAATTCAAAGTTCTTACAATTTAAATCATAAGGAGCTCCATCCAAATGAGGGAGCTAGCATGATACTTACATAAAAAACTGTGAACCATTTGTATCTTTCCCTCTGTTGGCCATTGAAAGGAGAAATTCTTTGTTGTGCTTTACAGCAAAGCTTTCATCTAGAGAAAGCGTTTGAATTACTTCAAAAATCCAAGTTATTACCTTGCACTGGCATTTTTTTTTTGCATTTTAAATTAGGATTGTCAAGCTGCATAAATGTTATCATTGCAGTGCCAAACAGTATTCAAATAGATAAAATTAAAGACAGAGATGTATACTATAATTCTCAGTTTATTGGACAAAAATATAAATATTATTCGATTAATATTGTTGAATTGCATTCTCATATAATGAATAAATGCAGAAATACAACTATCTAGCAATTAATTGATCTGTTAAACAAGAACAACCTGTAAGTGACTCATTATCCAAACAGATATATTTTTTGAAAAAAAACCACCTTTATTATATTTTGCTACCTACACTTATAAAAGTGCGCCAAAATAATATGTTGTATTGCTAGTTAAAAAAATACCTCATGAACAGTCCTGTTTTAGAAAAGGTAATTTGGAAATTGAAAAAAAAATTCAATTACTTATACAACAGACTTGTTTATAACATATTTGTGTCATAAAAGCGTCTTATCTAACTTCCAGTAACAGCCTTTTAATACCATCAGCTCACATTTCTAGGAGCATGAAAAGAACTCAGACTGAGTAGTCAGAATTAGCATTCAGCCATCTTTGAATTTTTACAGAGAAAGACCGAAACCAGATCCATTTATTGGTCTACTTGGTCCAACTGCCAAACTAGCATTCATTTTCTGCCAAAAAATCTGTTTGTTAAAGACATGTCAAATGACTGGAATGATGTTCTATCGTTTTCCCTCTCTGCTCAGACATGAGCAAGGAGGGTTGGTTTGTTAGCAACCAATGAAATGGTTAAACTGGGCTCGGAGACAAGATGCAAGGCTGTCACACACTTCAGGAAGAAAGGACTTACCACCTTAAGAGAAGTAGAAAAAGAGATGGGTTGGTATGCCACTGATTGTGAGATCACTTGAGGCCAGACTTTTAAAAAGTTCTAAAATAACTATACAGTTTATGATCCTCATTATGAACCTCAAAATAAACTAGTTATTTTGTAGATCCATAAAATATATTCACAACACAATGGTGGAGTTGTAAGCTAACCTCAGAAAAAAATAGCTCTTACCTTCAAAAAAGCCTCCATAAATTGATTCTCCTCCTCTCCCATTTCCTTGTATGAAAAAACAACAACATACATCTAAGAAAAGATCCTGCAAGCATCCAATAGAAGATAATATAGATAGTTCAAGGTTGAACTGTGGAATCCTTAGTGTTCTCTGAGCTTGGTTGTTTATTTGTTTGCTGACATTTCAATACCTGAATTGGGTAACATCATCAGTGCTAGTGAGCATGGGGTTTGCTCCCTGTTTATATACAGTAACTTGCCCTGCCAGTGTTGCAGAAATGTGGTTTTCTCCTTGGTAGTTCTTTGATTAAAGTATGGTTTTCTGCCAGATTGTTTGTCTGGTGTCAATCCCTGCTTATCTAGGTATTGGCACCAAGGGTGTTGGAATTGACACCAAAGACTCCACAAACTTTAAAATATTTGTATTCAAACTGAATATCTTTATAGAAGATATCATTATGGAAGAAGTAACAGAAAACAAGTCTGTTATTTTACTACCCATCTAGGCAATTTAAAGTGGACATTAATGAAACAGAATGAGAGAGTTCTAGTTTTCTTATATTTTTACAAATGAATTCAGATTTTTTTAAGAAGGAAAAAAATGACAATATTTTAGTAACATCTTTAGCAAAGCACTCTGCTTGAAACTATCATAGAAATTCATTCCTAAATTTTGGCAAGAGACTATTATCCCGAGTTTCTTTCCACAAAAATAGACATCAAAATTATTTAAATACTATAAAACTTTTATTTATATTTGAACAATTACAGGCAATAATTTGGAACAAGTAATGTCATACCTTCACTGAAGTCACCACCTTGGATCATGAAATCTTTCACAACTCTATGAAATAAGCAACTTTTGTAATGAAGTGGTTTCTGGGTTGATTTTCCAATACCTTTTTCACCTACAAAGAAGAAATAGTTTAATGCACATTAAATATTAATGACACAATCTCACAAGATGAAATACAAGTCAAATTGTAAATCAGCTTTTGGTGTTTTTTAAAACTCTAAATACTAAGCCATTAAAAGAAAAGGTCACACAGTACTAATAGTAGTAAAAAAGAAGCAAATAAAATGTTTCTACATAATAGGCAAAATCCACAGAACTGTACCCATTTAATTCATACAGCTAGTCCTCACTTAACAACTGCAATTGGTTCCAATGAAATGGTCACTAAGCAAACAACATGATATAGACAGAAAAAGAAAGGGGGCCTTTCAAGATTACTGAATGCTGCCATCTCATTTAGATAGTTTCCTTGTGCAGCAATGCCAGTGTTACTCTCATTCTGGCATGCGCTGTTGTCAGGTGCAGAAATATGAACCTAAATATATGCATTGGTCGGACAATGATTTTTAGTACCACTTATTCCCACTGTATTTATAAACAGCTGCTATCTGAGGCAGTTGCAAACGAGGACTGTTTATATAATAAAGTGGTCTGAAACTTCAGTTAATTTCTCAATTGTAAGACTCCACTATTCAAGGATAGGTTTGTATGCATTTTGTTTCAGATAAAGGCAACCTTGCTGTAGAGTGCTAAGGAAATAGGAGAAAAAAAAGCTATAGTTGTTTTTCCCCCTGTGTATCTCAGTGCATACTTGAAGGAAAGAATATAACCTGCACCCTCGAGTTATAACCATTTGTTCAGCAATGTGTGAGCAAAGGAAGGAAGATATTATGGTAAGATATGGACAAGTGTCTTCTCTAAGAATCTAAATGAAATTCAGAATTAACAAAATTCCTCTGAGCTCCAATACGACAGTGGAGATTTTTTCCCCCCAGACTTGGAATCATCCAGGTTTCCCTATCTTTCTGACTATAGAAAGAAACACTTAGAATTGTCTGAAAACTTTAACTAATCTATGTGGTTCCACATTTCAGTGCAATCCCCAGAGCAGAGCCATCGTGACCATAAATTACTAAAGTGTATGACATTTAACAGATAGTCATTATTTTATATGTATGAATTAATACTAAATACTTCAAAATAGATCATAAACAAATATATTTATACTTACCAAACTTAAGATAAATGTGTAATATTGCTATAGTTTTATGCACCTTGTGACATTATTCTTAAGAACAATTAAATCAGCATTAGATTTATATAGCAAATTATGCAATTAAGGAAAAATATCTACAAACCTGTACAAAGGCAGCGAAAGTTCTCACATGTTTTTGGGCAAACATCTGAAAATAATTCAAAGACAACTCTTCCAGCTAAAATTAAGAAAAAAATCATTACATTTATATTCACTAACTTTAAGAAGGCAAGTTTGCATGCTTGAAAATAAATATAAACCACTTATTCTAAATCAGTTTACCTATGCATAACATTTAACATTGAAACCAGCAGACTTACCAGGGGTGTTATTGATGGCTATGTCAAAAAAACAACGAGGTCTTTGGGTTTTCACTCCCATGGCTTCAGAATGTTATATCTGAAATAGAAATACAAATCATAAAGAAATGTGATTGATTATAGCATACTAATTTATTTATTTATTGAATTTATTGGCTGTCCATCTTACCACAGGGTAACTATAGAGTTACTAATAACAATATAGGTAAGATATTACAAGGCTTTATTATTTCACGCAGAGAAAAATATATAGGCAATAATACTGCACCAAAAATATTTTGGTTGAATTATTTTTATGGGTTATAAAGTGAATGCAATACTAAATATTTATATTTAGGAATGACCTCATTAGACTAGTCCAAACTGTGTTAACAATCAACTTCCAATTCCTTATGTGATTGTCCCTCTAACACTGGGGAAGCAAAGAAGAACAGTGATATGCTAAGCAGTGAACACATTAGTGTATGATCTTTTCCTTCCACCTCTCCTTTAACACATTTACCACTCCTTTACAACTTATTTCAGGTATACCACAAGGTAATAAGGCGGTCACCAAATGACAGGATGAAAAAACTATTCAACAATGCAAAGTAATTTTCTACAAAATATTTTATTTAAAAAAAGTATTGATCCTGCCCCATTTCAACAAATCTGAAAATATCACATCATAACCAAGTCATTCTGGTTTATTTATTACAATATTAATTTATATGGATGCAATTCTGGTTTGGATTTGCAGTGAGCGATGGTTAACATTAAATAAATGTAGGGAAGGGAATATATGGAAATAGTGTTACATCAATCTTCTCTTACAAAGGCACAAAGTAAATTAATTTTTTGATAATTATGAATCCAAAAAAGGCAAATCTTTTAGGATCTGATAGTTGAAAGGTGATTTCTCAAGCATCATAAAATTGCAGTATCTTCCTATTTTGTCTATCCCTGTGTTCACACTAGTGTATAGCCTTCCTTAAATATTGAAAAACAGATGAATCTGCTTAATATTTAATGTTCCTTCTACTTGGTATTATTTCATATACGACAGGACAAACCACTGATGAGGCATCATATGCCAAAACATGGAGAATTAGCAAAGTTCCAGGTTAAAGCTATAAACAGGAAAATAAACAATGGCTGAATGTTAATTTCACTTCTTTCATATTATAAAACTAGTATTTGATAAGCATGTTTACCAGTTTATTGAAAGCAAAGTATAAATTACAGTAGCCTTAATCTATTAAAACATATTTATGTTTTAAAACACATTTAAGCCTATTAAAACATATTTAAGCCTATAAATTAGAAATTCCCTAATTTTTTTCTGCAGGTTAAAATTAGTGGGTTTAAAATCAGTATTATTTATTCTAATTATATCAAAAATTCCAGAGTTCTCTAGATCATGATAGAAACACTATTTATGTGAAGAAAAAAGGCCAAAGAATTAAGTATAGCACTCCACACTGCTTTCCCTTTTGAACTTCCAAATAGCCTACAATTTCAACTATTTATCTTAAACAAGAGCCAAAAACTATATATTTGATTACTTATTCCCATGTAATTCCCAATGCCTTATGTAAACACATGAAACAGCAATGGATACAGGCAGTCCTCAACTTACAATCATTCATTTAGTGACTGTTCAAATTTACAAGTACTGAAAAAAGTGACTTATGACCATTTTTCACATGTATGACTGTTGCAGCATCCTCATGGTCATGCAATCAAATTTTGGCATGCATTTATGACAGCTGCAGTGTCCTGGGATCGTGTAATTCACCATTTGTAACCTTCCCAGCTGGCTTCTGACAAGCGAAGTCAATGGGGGAAGCCAGATTTGCTTTACAATTGCATAATTCACTTAACAACTTCAGCAATTTGCTTAACAATTGTGGCAAGAATGGTTGTAAAATGGAACACAATTCACTTAACCTGTCTTGCTTAGCAATGGAAATTTTGGGCTCAATTGTGACTATATGTGGAGGGCTACCTGCATTTGCTTTCTTTCTCATTTATTATTCAAATTTATATAGTCATCCTTTCCAATATATATGATCATTGACAGCTAACAGGCAATTAAAACAAACATAACAAAAAAGAGTAATATTATAATACTATTTGAAAACAAGAAAATTTTTTTTAGATAATTTAAGATTAAACACAATAATAAACAAATAATCAACTTAATTATTAAACAAAATTACTACTCAAAATAATAATATCAATATAATAAAATATAATAAAAATATAAAAAATATAATAAAATATTCACAATAATAATACTGTAAAATTTACTCAAACACCAAATGGAACTTTTCAGTTCCATATTTATTCTGAATATAATCTATCCATCTTCTCCAAACCGAAATATATCTTTCCTGTGATTGATCCTTTAAATAAGCAGAAATCTTAGTCATTTCTGCTAAATTTGACACTTTAAGAGACCATTCTTCTACCGTAGGCAAACGATCCGTCTTCCAGTTTTGAGCTACCAATAGTCTTGCAGCTGTTATAAGATTTAACATCAGATACATTTCTTTAGCATCCAAATCTCCCATAATACCTAATAAAAATAACTGCGGTGTAAACTTTTATCTTTTTCTTAAAAATACTTTGAATATTCCACCAAACCTTAATCCAAAATGCTTTTATTTCCCTACACGTCCACCAAATATGAAAATAAGTTGCATCTAAACTTCCACATCTCCAACATTTGGGCTGTAAATTAGGATACATGCATGACAATTTTTGAGGATCCAAATGCCACCTATAAAACATCTTATAAAAATTTTCTCTTAAATTTTGGGCTTGAGTAAATTTTACATTTTTAACCCAAATTGTCTAAATTTATTTTAAAAGGGAGTTAAAGTGGGGCGTGACAGTAGATTTCGTTACATAATTAGTTGGATAATGTTACTTAGATTATGATTAATATATTTGTAACCCTGTGAACAGCTCTGGGAAGTGGGGGGGTGGGGGGTTATGGGCGTTTTGGGGGGCGGGCAAGGGGGTTTATTTTGTAAATGTTATAAAACTTTTAATAAAAAAAAATATGAAAGCATATAAAAACCATCACAGAAGACATAAAACAACCAAGGCAATTACTACGGTCACAGTACCAGCACCACCACACTCCTGGGTCCCCATGCCCAGGGTTTTCAGGGCCGTGTGAAAACTCAGCAAGCTGAGGGTCCATCCGATCTGGGGGAGGGGGAATCATGTTCCATAGGGCAGATGCCACAAGAAAGACTCTCTTCCTGGGTCCTGCCAGACAACATTATAGCCGATGGGACATGCAATATGCCCCTCTTCCTAGACTGGATGGGGTAGGTAGATGTAATTGTGGAGAGGCAATCTGTCAAGTAACCTGATCCCATGTCTTTCTTACATATAAGCTAAACTATACCATTTTTAAAGGTTAGGATATAATTGTTTATTTGTGCAAATTCTCCTAATACTATATGTATTTGAAAGAAAACTAGATTTAATCCCAAACCATTTGCTTTAGGCCATGAAAGAAAAAGTTTTCTATATAACTTCCAGTAGTAAAGAGGTAAGCTTTAAAATTTAGGATCACAAACACACATCCTTTTTTGTTGTTGTTGTTAAATACAGTATCTATGACCAGCTTTCATTGGATAACAGCAGCTCTGCTGGATCACACAGAAAATCCTGTCTAGTCTGGTGTCTTGTTTCTTATAGCAACTGACTAGAAGCTTGATTAAACAAAGTAGAAACGAAGGCAGGCTGAGTGGGATCTTTTTTAATATTAAGAGGCACAGTATGCAAATTATGGTTTGAATTTGGGGAGCACATGTACATTTAATTTTCTGAAAGTTTCACTGCCCTAAATGATTGAGACCTTGTTAGCATATGTTATTTTACATGCATTTAATAAACCAGTACTCTTTGAGAAACCAAATAAAAATAAGTGGTCTGCTTTTTTGACAGAACTCCTTTCTCTGTCATTAGGGCAAAGTAAGTCATTAATTTCTTGGATGGCCAAAATGATGCTACTCACTCTTGTGCATAATGTTTCTTGTGTTTCAGTTTAGGTAACAGTTAGGTAGTAAATAACTTTAAATTTTTATATGAAATTGTTTTTTACAAAAAGTTTGACATTTACAAAAAAAGTTTTTTTTTCTAGTAGTCAGATATTAGCCTGGGGTGGATTGATAAAAAACATTTAGTGTGGTTTAAATATTCTCTTCAAAAAACATAAGCTACCCTATTTTTTAAGAACATTTGTTAAATATTTTAAATACGACAGTGGCAACATAATTTTATGACTTCTATATTCACCTTATACTATATTTAAACTGAAAAAGTAAAATATTAAGTTCTAAATGCTCTAGCTTGGGAGTTTCAAACTCATAAAACATTTAAATAATTTTCTGCAGCTGGCAACAGTATTTTAGAAATGAATAAGCCCACCATGGCATCCTTAGCGGGTGAAATCTACACCAAAAGGCAGCAATGCTCCCTGATTAGTTTAATGGCTATTAACAAGTAAAGTGAGAGAGCAACCAAGATTAACAATCTGTTACCCTCCTATGCATACACTGAATGTAGCATCTCATATTATTTTGGGTCCTAAGTGTGCTGGCGTCTTCTGGTTCTCTCCCTCATCTTTATTTATTTGTCCAACTAATTTACGCTTGCCAGGCAACAGGCAAAGATGTACAAGACTATGGCATTTACTGGGTTCATTGCAATTGCTGATGCCCACAGCTCCAAGCTAAGAAGAAAGTGTGACCTGACACAAAACCTGGGCCCAGGCAGAGGCGTGGTTCAACACCTAGCTTTGCATCAAAACACTGGCCAGGGCTGTAGCTGCTCCTCATTACTTACCTGCTTTTACTAGCGCCCTCTTACCACCATGTCTACTTCAGGTTTAATTCAGGTGGCTTGCTATGCCAACCTTGGCACCTCCTGTCTGGGAGCCTCAGGTGGAAAAAAGGCTTTGCATGGGGAGACAGTGACAGGACCCATGAAACCCAGTGCAGAGTGATGACTCAAGCCCAGCTGTTAGGGAGTACCCTATCTGAGGTTTCAATGATCCCATTTTATAATGGAGTTGCTGGGGTCCTTTGTGCAAAACTAGCTATCCACCACATACCAAATTCCACTGGCAACAACAATCCAAACTATCATTGCATTGCATTGCATTGCTATCACTATGGCTGAAGTGACTAAAGTAGCTGAACAGCACACAGAATAAGAAGAGTACTACAATCTCTCAACTGTTTTCGTTTCTCTTTTCTGAATCATTTCTAATATTACATTTTATTTAAGAAGGAGCAACGGGATGCTTATACATTATCCCAGATATGGCTGGTTATTTCATAAATATATTTACTGTATGATGTATTTATTGAGTCTCATGTTTCATTTTATTGTTGCCAAATTTAAAGTTTGTTTTAGGCTTTCCTAAATAACTTAGTATCACAAATTTAACTACCAAACCCAAAGCAATGGAATTGAAATAAATCACTTCCAATACAGTTTGCAATACAGTGGTACTTAAGACTATCCAAAAGAAAAAATAAAAAAATTCTTGGATCCAGAATGACAGATGTATAGAATAATCCATTATGAAATTATGAACTTTCAATAAACATATCTTTAATTACAGAGTTCTTGAATTATTTCTTCTATTACTTAAACCTTTTGGGCAAAGCAAATTCCCATACTGATATTAATTGAAAGGAGGATGCACATCAGTTTTCAAATGCCTTATGAAAACAATTGTATCAACTAACAAATATTAAACCAATTCTTTAAAAACAGATTAAAAAAACAACTACAATAACCACCGTAACAAATGTTGGATATTTTTCCTGATTTCTTCAAAAAATAAATGTTTGACTGGGCACCAAACCTTACTTGCAATCACAACACAAAATTAAAATGTTGAACACAGCAGACTGTCACTACTAGATTATCTTCATGATTCATCCTTGATGAATTGAATTGTGTCACAAAGAATTAAAATGAGATGTATCAAATACAGATCACAAATAATTCTCCTCAAATTTGTTGAGACTTTTAAGAGAACTTGTTGCACTTGACATGTCTTTTAAATAATACAGAAACAATTTCCTTCAATTTAAATGAAGATGTATACCAGTATTCAAATATTAATGATATTAAAAATAGGAAACTTAGGAAATAGTGAATTGACGAAAAAATAATCAAACTTGTCTTATTTGAAGCAAAGTTAAAATTTTGACCAATCCTTCTGCAAAATACATCCAATAATGAGAGCCAGTTGGTTGTAGTGGTTTAGATGCTGGCTTAGAAACCACGAGACTGTGAACTCTAGTTCCACCTTAGGTATGAAAGATGGCTGGGTGATTGGGCCAGTCACCCTCAGTCCAATCCAATTCACAGGTTTGTTGTTGTGGAGAAAATAGAAGGGGAAAGAGTATTATGTATGTTCGCTATCTTCTTATACAGTAATAAAGATAAAATAAAAATCCAATAAATAATGTTGTGTCAATAATCACATCTGTAGTTTTATTAAATCTGCCTTCCCACACCTTCTACTGAATATATTTGTTCTCGTGTTTAAGAACAGGAAAATTGAGGGAGAGATCAAGAGCCAAATTTTGCTTCTCCTTAGGAAACCCAAGGCAAAATTAATTTGTGCCCTTTGGACGTTTTAAATTCCTGAAGATACACATGGTTATAACTGAAAAGTATAAAATTGTACTACTTCATCATCTCCTTATCGCTCAGAATAGATGATGTTTTTAAATATAACTTGTAACATTTTATTAAAAAAATCACTGCTTGTTTTTTTTAGAATTTCAGAACTAAAATATTGCAACGATAAGCAACATGTGAAGAATCTATTTTTCAAATAAAGTGCTGATTTTGGAATATATGATAACTAATAGTTGGCAAGTTTCTGTGTAGAGTATGGGAAGATCAATACAGAAGGAACGACAACACAGAACTAGAGTATTTAAGAGCGATCCCACTTGGTCTAAATTGATTCATTTAGTTCCTCCCCTCTTTTCATTCTGTCTGTTAATTTCACCACTTCTTACTTTTTTGCCTTTTTCATCTTTTACCTCGGTTACTATTCGGAGCAATTGTCCCATTATCTTTCTTCTCTTTTTCAGCAAGGTTTTTTTTACGACGAAACGGACTAGTTTCTTTCATTAAAAAGGCCGCTTAAATCAGCCTAGATCTTTTCCCACAAACTGGAGGAAAAAAGGGGGGAACAGCTTTAATTTTGTTGCGAGGGGAGAACAGCGGGTTCTTCTCCCCCCCTCTTGCACAAGTTGCCCGAAACAAACCCTACAAATCGCTATTAAAACCCGAGAACCCCCCCTCCCACCCGTCGAAGGCCCTGTGTTATCCCTCAGCCATTCAACGCGAAACTGCTTCTCCTCCTCCTCCTCTCTCGACCTGTGGAGAGGGCGACGCTTCTCTCACCTAGGCCTTCAGGATCAGCCCCCTGACTCTGAATGAGAAAAGGCCTCTTCCCCGTTCACCCCACCCCCCGAGTCAGCGTGAGGCAGATTCAAAATTGGGAGAGAAGCGAGCCCTCCTCTTCCTCCTTTCTCTCCCGCCCGCTCCGCTCCGCTCTAAGACGGGGGCGTCTTCTCCCTCAGGCCACCCCCGAAATTTGCCTCCGGTCCTTCTGCGGACCCGCTTCTCTGGCCACTCACCAGCCCCTCTCGTGAGGCCCTCCAACCTCCCTTCGGCCGCGCTCCTCACCACCTCGCCGCCTCCGCCGCCATGTTAGGATCTGGTGCAGACGGACTGCGTCAGTGGAGGAGGGGACGAAGCGGGAAACCCGGAGCGGCTGGAGGCTGGCGCGGGCAGAAAGGAGGGGAGCCCGGGCGCGCGCGCCTGTGTGTGTGTGTGCATGCGTGTGTGTCGACGCGCTGGAGAGTCAGAGGCTCCGGCGACAAAGTCGCCGAGCCTGGCGCTTCGGCAAGGCGGGCAAGAGGGTGTTCAAGATCCCCGCTCCGCAGCTGGGCCTTTTTTTTTGCCGCCCTCTTGGCAACGCTGGCTCTGCTCTGCCTTTGGCGGGCTCCGGGCCTGGCCTCTTGTCTTGGAATCGGCGGCAAAGAAAACGAAGGGATGCCCTGAGCTCGCGTTTCTGTTTCCGCGATTAGTCAACGTGTTTCCTATGTCAATTAAGAGAAGCGTTTCAAGCCGCCCAGTCCTATTACACGTAGCATAAGCAATACCGAGTCTTGACTGCGCCCCGAGGCTGGGTTGGTCATCCACCCCACGACCTGGTATCTCTCCGATTATATCTGTTAATGTAAGAAAAGGGCATTGCATAAAGGTTTTGTTTGCACGCGTTGCTGTTTACTTCGAGAGTAGAGCTCTTCAAGGCACAAAGGTTTATTGTAATATATATAAATTTGCAGAAGGATCAGGCTGGAATCGGACGTCTTAGGCTTTCCCTTGACAGAACCTGGAAGCAGCAGTTATTCATAATTAAGGCTCACGATCCCTCCTTTGAATACATACAGTATTGTCGCCGATTTTGATTACCCTTTCTACAATTATTTCCAACATCTCCCTTTCACGCATCTGTGTGCTGTATATAACTTCCCAATAACTAGTAAATAATTCAGTTTGTCCTACTGAATGCGAATCTTCGGTTGCACCTCTGCCAAATTTGATAAAATCTCCCAACTTTTTGGTAAATGACTTTGTATTATACACATAACAATAATTTATTAAACTTTTATATCCTCCCGACTCAACGATTCCGGGAGGGTCATTGCAATCGAAAAAAAATTACTGTACAATAAAATCAAGATATGGCACGGGTAGAAGTAGAAATTTGCCTTTTTTTTTTTTTACATTATCAACGTCTGAATTCCCGCCCGCGAAACCGAAGCGTCCCTCCGTTTGAAGACTACAATTCCCGAAAGGCAACGAGATTGTCGGTGAGGCACGCTGGGAAATGGAGGACAGTAGCAGATTCTTTGAGCGGGCATTGAACAGACGGTTACGGAAGCCGAGGAGGTGCGATTAAATTCATTCTCGGAAGAACGGCTGGATACGGCCGGCATTCTCAGGCCGCTTTTTGTCCTGTAGGTGGAATTCCGCGGGAAGCTTTGAGGTTTCACGCAATCGGGATGCATTTCCACCACGTGATTTTTTTTTTGAGGCGGAGCCGGCGGCGGGTCATTCGCGGGGCGTCTTCCTTGCTAACCGGTGGCATGGCCGCCCGTAGGGCACCCGCGTGGGTTTAATTTGCTCCTGGAGAAAGAGGCGGCCTGCTGTATCTTGTATCCAACGGAAGGGAGAATTTCAACTGTTTGTGCAATTCAACTAGGTATTGATTTCTAAAGCAGCTCCCGTGATAAGATGCGCTTCGTTACACGCAAAGTCGAGGAAATCGTTCTCAGCAGGTCGTAATCCTGCTTCTGCGTAATTTCCATCGCCAAAGGTTTGCTTTTAACTGCTTAGAAAGAGAGTGCCGTATTCTTTTTCTAGATTATGATGGGATTTTTATGGCTATCTCAAATACGTGTCTTTGTAAAACGTTGCAGTTGTTTGGAAAGATGTTGGGTTCAGATGCTCTCTTGTCTTTTTCGTTGTATGCTTCCTGGTTGAAATTTCAACTCGGAGAAGAGCTGTGTTGCCTTCGTGAAATGGCACTCACTATGGTTGCAGATTATTGGAAGAATAAAATTTTGCAAACGTTTTGAAAATAAACTTTTTTTATTTTCTAAAAAATAAATGACGAACCAGGGAGTGTCTCAGAGAAACTTAGTTGAGCTTTAGCAATAAGATAGTTATTGAAGCGGTGCCAGAAATGTATATTTTTACAATTATTGGTGTAATAGGAAAATAATAAATGCTATTATAAAAATATCAAATATACTCGCTGTTAATGAATTGTTTCTTATGCAGTTTTCATGAAATGAAGATGATTCTTTTTTAAACCAATCTTTGTAACATTAAAAGTATAAGCCATTATTTCCCTAGGGTTTTATAAGTTTTTTTAAAATCACCCAGCCATCATTTAGATACCATGCATATTCACTATTACCTTGGGTATTCAAATAACTATTTTTTTTCTTTTTCTTTAAAAGTTCCATAAGGAATTACCATATTTTCAAATCTATTTTGCAGTATCATTTTGTATATTTGGTCTTCTTATGAGGTGTTTTGTATTTTCAGTTTTACCATGGTTTTGAATTAATCTCATTTTTCCCCCTTATGGCAGATGTTTGAATTATACTATTTTTTAACAACCCCCCCCCCCTCCATCAGTTAGTGGAAGACTAACTGATGCAGCACCTCACATGTTGAGTCAATAATGATAATAATGATACTTGTTATAAAAAAATCCAGACTTAACTCTACACAATAGGAAGGGCTATGTCAATACATGGAAAAAAATAGAATCCATCATAGGCTTTCTTTTAGGATGAGATGAGGGAACAGAGTGGCAGGGGACATAGGAACATAGTTGCATGGTTAAAGGTCATGACAAGTTATAGTTAATTTCCAAATTATGCTAAACTCCCTGAATTCCTCCTGACTGCTAGGCCAGAACAAGCATAAGAATAGGAGGAAAACAAAATGTGTGAATACTATGGTTCCTCACAATAGTTTTTATGGTTAGTCTGAATAAGGCTTGTTTGAAGCATTGGGGGGCTTATTAATAAAACATCTTGGCAGACTAATATTTTTGCATTCTTTTTCTTCCTACAGTCACTTCATATTATATGGTAAAAGAAATACAATATGTTTTATATCTGCAAATAACATTTCTTTTTCCTAATGTATACTTGTGGCAGTCAGAAATGAAGAAAGAAGTTCTGGGTTCCCTTGGAAGAAGCCAATCCAAATGACAAGCATGCTTTGCCTAAGACGTTTTTATCCAATTCCAACAAGATGTTTTAACTGTCGAACTTGGAGCAGCGACACTTTGTTGAACCAACTAAATAACTTTACAAATGAACACCAAGTGTTCAGTCTTGTGTCAAAGAACAGAGCCAGACTCTCTGAAAAACATGTGAGAAGTGCAATTAAGAAACTTGTGCAAGTTCAAAAGAAAAGGCCTAGGCCCTCAGAAACTATGGATTATATAAGAAGTCATTCTCAGTTTTTTGTACTTCGCATCTTGGCAGAAAATAAGATTGAATGTATGGATAATGAATCATTAGTGGATGTATTATACAGTATGCTCTGGTAAGTAGTGTGAGATTGAATTGCAATTACAGCAATTTGTCATGATTTTATGAACAAAAAATGAATTGCTGTTGTATACACTCAGGCAAATGTATTTCATGTTAAAGTGTGCTTATAGAATTCTGTTCATACTTTTTGAAAAAGTTCAATCTAGCAATCATAAAAATCGTTATAGCAGCTGTAAAAGATTGTATATATATACTTTGCAAAAACCCAAAGGAACAAAACAAGAGGTGTGATCAAGACAAAGTACAGAGCCCTGCCTTTGCCACATAAAAGTTAAGATTAGTTTTTAAAATTGCCTCTTGCATTGGGGAAATGCTGCTGGAGTAAAATGCAACAGAACTCCAAAATCCCATTTGTTCCTCAAGCATATATAAAAGAATATCAATCATTGAATATGAACAATTTTTGCTACAAGGATTTAAGGGTTGTTATGTGTAATTTAATTTATTAATATTTAGATACTTTACATAGGTTGGGGAAAATTCAGAAATCGTCAAAGGTTACTAAAAAGTATATTTGAAAAGAGAGAAGTAGCACGCTGTACAACTTTGTGCATTAATCCATTAATAATATAGAACAAATTTGTTACAGAACAAATATATATAATACACATACACAAACACACTATACACTACATACACGCACCCACACATATACATATGCATATGTATATAGTATAACAACAAATATATAGATCTCAATATATAGATTTATTTTAACTCTAAAATATCCTATGAACATTTGCTTGGCTCACTTTTTATTCCTTCTAAAGGTTTGAAGTTGACGCCCATGACTCACTTGTAGAAGAGTTGGTTGTAGAAGGCTGGAATCGATTAAATGAGCAAGTATACATTTTATCTATTTATTCCTTTTCATATTAATTGAAAATTCATGCTTAGAATAAATCTCACAGAATTAGCACTAAGCAATAATATTTTTAATCCTTTCTCATGCCTCTTTCATAGAATTTGGTGGCTCAAATTGTGATGTAAGATAAATTTGCATGGATTATTATATTAAAAGTAGAAACTATAAATATAAGACTACATCAGTATAGTTATTGATTCAAAATAAACTATTAGTAACTTTAGGCTGCAGTTCTGAATTCCATATTCACTCATTGGAGTTTGTCCAAATTGAGTGCGTGAACAAGGACAGCCAGCAAAAGTTTCCCTGGAAAGTTCAGCGGGAGGAAGAAACAAAGAAGGAACCAGCTGCTCATTCTGAGGGAACCCTGTGCTCAGCTGTGAGGAGTAAAAAGCTGAGGTCCTCAATAGCTACAGATTGTGAAGGATATGCCCTGATGGTTGTTGGTTGTCAATTGTGAGTGACTAGTTAAGTAAGCAGAAACTGTAGGGCAGGGATTCCCAACCGGGAGTGCGAAAACCTGGGTTTAGAAGTTTCAAAATTATAGTGTATATGCATAATTCGTTTCGAACTTTTGTAAGGGATGCGAGAATATATCAGAAGCATTCTAGGGGTGCGGGGTATAGAAAAGATTGGGAACATAAGGCAGTCAGATGCTTTATTCATAGTCCTGTGCATTCTGCAGTACTTTTCCCAAATTAAATCTGAAGCACTGTAAAGCCTTAAATACTAGAGGTCTGCAATATTTAGATCTGAAGCAGGAAACGTACAGGTAGTCCTCAATTTATTATCACAATTGAGCCCAAAATTTACATTGTTAAGTGAGAAATTTGTTAAGAGAGTTTTGCCCCATTTTACAATTTTTCTTGCCACTTTTGTTAAGTGAATCACTGCAGTTAAGTTAGTAACACGGTTGTTAAGTGAATCTGGTTTCCCCATTGACTTTGCTTGTCAGAAGGTCGCTAAAGGGAATCACATGACTCAGGGACACTGCAACCGTCATAAATATGAGTCAGTTGCCAAGCATCTGAATGTAAATCGTGTGACCATGGAGATGCTGCAATAGTCATAAGTGTGAAAAATGTTCATAAGTCCCTTTTTTCAGTGCCGTTGTAACTTTGAACGGTCACTAAATGGGTTGTAAGTCAAGGACTATCTGTACTTTGGATCCGGTATATTTGGGGTGCATTTATGCTGGAGCTGAACTGATCTTAAGTTTAATAGCAATTTCTTAAAGAGTAGAAGTAGGTGGATATTTGAACTGGAATTTATGGTGACATCTAATTCCAATTGCTTGGAGTGCAGTTGTTGAATGCTTTCTGGAAGACTTTTCTGCCTTTACTTGATTAAGGTTCTAAGCTGCAAATTTCTCCTTAGGAAGTGTACTCATGGAGAAATACTGAAATTTGTCCTAGTTTGTAAACATATATGTAGACCTTTGGCACAGTAACTGTATTGTCTTTGTTATCCTCAGACTGACTCCACCTCTGCTATCTAAATTTGCACTGTGTGTACAGGAACAACATCTGCATCATAGTCCACTCATGGGTGAAATAGCTCATTTGGTAGATAAGAAATTGGATTCCATACAGGATTCAAGGTAATTTTTATTTAATAAAGACTCCAGCCAGGGATTCAATGGAGAGAATTAATAAGGGAAGCATGCCCTCATTGTTCCCATGAACCCAACATCTGACATGAATACAGACAGGTAGCTTTGGGTGTGTAATTCATCGATCTTAAAAGAGTCTGAAAGGAAGTTTATTACTGAATATTCTCAATATTCTTATTGTAGATATACAATTGAATGTACCGTATTGGGGAGACAATATAGTTTGGATTTTTAAAGACAGGTAGCCCTCATATTATGACTACAATTGAGCCTGGAATTTTGGTTGTAAGTAGAATCACCACATGACCAAACTCAATTTTATGACTATATTTACAACAGTTGTTAAGCAAGATACCATGGCCATTAAGTGAATCATGTGGTTGTAAGTCCAAATCCAACTTATCCAATGGGCGTATTTTCCCAGAAAATGGCAACAAAATTTGCAAAACGCAGTTGTGTCACTGGGGTGCTGCAGCTGACCATAAAACTGAGCCAGTTGCCAAATACCAAAAATGCGATCATGTATCTGCAAAATGCAGACATGTACCTGTGGGGATGTTGCAACTGTCGTAACTTTGAGGACAAGTTTTTTTGGGTCTGTTCTAACTATGAACAGTCATTAAGTTTCATGGAAGACGTTTTTTCCACGGATGCGGGGGGGGGGAGGAGGATCATGTAACCTAGATCCCTAGAAACTGCATGCACAGTTTCACTCACCTCCAGCTATGCGGCCCGGTTCCTAATAGGGACTTGAAGCCCCCGTCTTATACCACACATATCTATTCAGAAGTAATCCCCTTTGAATAAGTTGAGCGAAGCTTAATTGCAATGGAGTAATCTTAGCTGCTTACATGGGTATGAATCCTTTCAATTGTTTTGCCTGCAAGCACTGCAGTCTTCATAACAAGGAGAAATAATTAGGTGGGTTTTTTTTTAAAGAACAGCATTACTGAAAGGCAAAAACTTCATTGTGTAACATTTGTCTGCTCCCAATTTCAAGTAGTTACTTAATATAAATGCTGTAATATGTCCTGTGTAAAAATCACCCTCTCTTGTCTTTTTTTACTTAATGCCATTTTCTTAAGCATTGTTAGATTTTCTGATGAAATGAATAAGCGTATTTTTTTTAATATGTTTTTAGGGCTTTGTCAGTTGTAATGAACTGCATATCTTCTGTTACCTCGTGGAATTTAAAAAAGCGGTTAATAGAAAAAGCAGAAGACTTGTTTGAAATAACAAACCTCTCAGTGAATGATGCCAGGCGATTTATACAGTTTCTCCGGAATATCAGTTTCCTGCACTGGCCGCTGGTAAAAAAATGTAACAATATTTTTGTCCAGCATTCACATGAGTTACGTGTTGAGGATTTCTCTATCGTTCTTGGACTCTACCAGAATTTACAATTCAACAACACTGAATTTAGATTACTTGCCAAAGAAAAGCTGATAGAACTTAAGGATCATTGCAACAGTCTGTTGAATGTCATGCAACTGTTCATTCATCTTGCACCCATGGTACATCAAGAGATGCAAAAAGAGTAAGTGTATTTGTCTTGCCAATTTATTTGTGTATTTTCTTTTTAAGAGAAGTGAAAAAGTTGAAATTATGACTTACATGTACGCTATTGAGGGGTTATTTCCTCATAAATACAGGTTGTAATCCCTGAAATCAAAATGTTAAGTGTTAATGATTTATCGTCATAAGGAATTACATTCTTTGCAGGTTGTGGCCCGGGCTTCTAGACAGGTGACTCTACCTGTATGCAGGAGAATTGCTCTTTCCTTTCCCTCCCTCCTTTCCCTTCCTGAAAGGCAAATACTCATATGTTCGGAAGCATTTTAAAGTGCTTTATTAGAGCTTTTCTAATGTCTTCCTCAAACCTAATGAAGACTCTTAGATAATTACATACAGCATGCAAAGTGTCCGTGCAGTTTTATTCTCCTGCAGATCCCTTCAAAAATTGGAATATTCTTCAGGGTCAGATTGAGAAAAGCATGGTACTGATAAACACCTTCAAGGAATAGCACAGGTCAGCATGACTGAGGACACCAGCAGTGCAGAACCAAAACCAAATATCCCAATTTCTTCTTTCCTTTTTAAATCTTAACTCAAATAATATTGCAAATTCAGCATTTGAGAAGCGTTTCCACAAGCAGATGTCGCAAATGGTCACACATCACGTGGAACTGTGTCAATTATATCTAAAAAATATTTCTTTAATCATGTGGTTTATGTTGCTATTTTTTTCTAAACTTTTTATGACCTGGTGTAATACTGTCTTAGTTGGCAAAATATTTGTATCGGGGTCTGAAAGTCAGTGTTCCTACAGGATGAATTACTATGATGTTTCCATTTTTCATTCCTTGTTAATATATTTGGGATATGCTAGATCGGGGGATGGGGGGCAATTAATGAGAAACCGGGGCTATGAAGGACACACAAACCTGCACATACGTAAATTGAAAAAAAAAAAAGCAGTTGCTTTCAAAATAAAAGCAATGCTGTTGTATTGCATGCATGGCGCACATTTATTTACATTTGATTTCTAATTTCCAATTGACCTCACACAGGCCAGAGAGGGACAGCCAAAGGGGCTGTAAAATGCCCAGGTCTGTCCTATGTGCTTTCTTCAGTTCCTCTCATATGTATCTGTATAATAGTAGAAGAGATGGGAGACTCTCAGGTAATAGAAAAACTTAGGCTAGGCTGAGAAGTACAAATAGTCTTCAACTTACAACAGTTCGTTAAGTGACCATTCAAAGTTACAACGGCACTAAAAAGTGACTTAGGATCATTTTTCACACTTAACGACCACTGCAGCATTCCCAAGGTCACGTGGTCACAATTCAGACGCTTGGCAACAGACTCATATTTATGATGGTTGCAGTGTCCCTGAGTTATGTCATCACCTTTTGTGAGCTTCCGATATGTAAAATCCACGGGGAAGCCAGATTCGCTTAACAACCGTGCTACTAACTTAACCACTGCAGCGATTCACTTAACAAATGGGCCAGGAAAGATCGTAAAATGAGGCAACATTCACTTAACAAATGTTTCACTTAGCAACAGAAATTTTGGATTGAATTGGGGTTCGTAAGTCGAGGACTATCTGTAAAGCAGTAGACACCCACCTGCACACACAAAATCAGTAGCAAATATTTTATGTTGCTGTCAGGTCAAAATCACTGATAAACTTTGACTTAAAAATTTCACCATTTTTTTATTTGTTGAACATTATCTCTGTTATTCATCTAAACTTCAACATTTTTCCATGGCTTTCAGAATATTTCTTTTGTAAAATTTGTTCTTGGTTGATTAGCATATTATGTTTTAAAAGTAAGAATGATGGACTTTCTGAATGCTCAGGCAGCTTTTCTATCACAAACATATGCATATGTAAATATATGTACATTTCTTTTTAGGTTAAGTGAAAAGCTTCTACTAATCGTAGATGATTTGGATCGGTACCAAACGTTACTTGTGGCAGAAAAAATGCAAGAAGTACAATACAGAAATCCACTACTGATTGAAAAGTAATCCTCTAATACAATATAAAAATCTCATTCGTGTTTTGAGTTATTCTTTATTTTTGTGAGCAACTATTCTATTTGGCAAGAGAATCTTCATGTATTTCTTTTCTAAGCTGTTTCTGAACATAGCTGGAATTTCATCATAAAAGTTTCCTTGTTTCTTTGAGTTTTAAATGTACAATATTTATCTTCAAATAATTCTAGAGATGAAAGCAATTTGTTTTTTTCTAGGAAAAAACACATTACAGATAGTCCTTGTTTAGCAATTGCAATTGCTGAAGTCAGTTGTTAAGCAAAGCGGTTGCTAAGTGAAAAATCCTGGGACCATGACGGTGCTTAACAATTTTACGCAGGACAGTGCATTCTAACTGTAAAGGTCAGCACAGGAGCAAGAAAGAGGGATGCTGCACAGGTTGTAAAAATGCAGGCATAGGTTAAAAAGTTACTTTTTCCTCACTGTCATAATTGCAAATGGTCAGTGTCTGAAGCAAACATTAAGCGAGGACTACCTGTATAGATTGAAACAGGTAATAATTGTGTCAGAAATTTTAAAAGGTAGCTTAGTGCAGCATAACATCTGCACAGTCCAAATAACCAGGCTTATTCAGTAATTGTTTCAGTTATAATCCATAAGTAAGAATTGATTCAGCTCCAGCGGGTTCTTTAAAAATTTATCTTTTCTGTTCTTCCTTATCTAGTATTAATTATGTTTGACACATAATATAATGAACTTTGTATCTTGTAAAAGATACCCAGCTTCAGAATATAAGCATTTCTGAGAGAAACTTACATATTCAGAATAATTCTCCCAGTAGCTGTACTGTTTTCATTACTACATTTTTATGTCATGGTTATATTCAAGAGCATAATAAGGAATGTAGGACTGTTAATACCCCTCATTTTATGGTCCTTTCTTTGAAATCCAATGACATAATGTCCTGATCAGAATTAGGGTAAAGAATGTAGGATGC